GAGGGCCACATCGGGGTTCCAAAACTGTATGGAGGGCTGGGTAGGGAAGGCTGTGCCTCCCCAAACAGCCTAGCCCCCGCCCCATCTCCGCCCCCACCCAGTTCCCGCCCCCTGACTGTCCCCCTCAGAACCTCCGACCCATCCAACTCCCCCTGCTCCTTGTCCCCGACCGCCCCCTCCCTCCCGGAACCCCCCACCCCTAACCGCCCCCCCCCCGGGACCCTCCCGCCTATCCAATCCCCCTGCTCCCTGTCCCCTGACTGCCCCACCCCCTATCCACACCCCTGCCCTCTGAAAGGCCCCCCTGGACTCCCTGCCCCTTATCCAGCCCCCCCGCTCCCCGCTCCCTTACCATGCTGCTCAGAGCAGCAGGACTGGCAGCTGCGCCGCTCGGCCGGAGCCAGCCCCGCTGCCGCACTGCCCAGCAGGAGCTTGCAGCCCCCCACCCAGAGCGCTGGTGGCACGGGGAGCTGAGGCTGCGGGGGAGAGGGGACATCAGGGGCGGGGTTGGGGGCTAGCCTCCCCAGCCAGGAGCTCAAGGGCTGGGCAGGACAGATAGTTTGCCCACCTCTGTTCTAAGTTGTTCTTCCCCACTTCAGAAACAAGTGGCATAGGTATGTTCTTGGCAGGGCAAAAAGAACTAGTATATATAAAAGGTCTTTGTTCTGATGAATGCATACAAGTACTTCACATTGACTTGAGGGAAGACAGTGCAAGATAAAGAGTAAGCACCAGCGCACATTATTATAGGTAAGAAATGAGAAAAAGATGTGTATGTTATTGTCAGATCTACAGTACAATAAGCAAATTGGTACATTGTTTTTTTTTTTTCAGCACAGCTGCAATGGTTTATTCATTTTGAGTCTGTCCTCTCCTGAACAATGTACAAGAACGTGAATTTATTGACTGAAAAACAATTCACTTGAAAATTTAGACTCAGTACTATAGAATACCATCATAGTTATAAATATGGATTTAGCCAGCACTTTTCATTGAAATGCATGGTTCTTTATTTTCAGGCACGCTTTGCCAGAAAACTATAAAAAGAGATCTGAAAAATAATCTCAAGGTACAGGCATGAAAATTCAGAGGAAGGCAAGACTTGAGATTTTAGCTAGCTCTGAATCCTCATTTGGAACAAAAGTAATAAGAAGCAAATTCTGTGTCCCATTGTGAATTCATACTAGAAAATTTGATTTTGTTCATTTTATTCAGCTTTGTAAATGTAATGAGCTAAATTCATCCCCGGTGTGACACCACTGACTCCAGCAAATTTACATCAAGGATTAATTTGGTCCAACTTTTTAAAATGATGGCTTAACCAGTGCTTTACTCCTCTACTTTTCAGCATGACAGGACTCTCATGTGTAATTTACATGTAACTGGCATTTGTTAGCTTGGATTTCTTGTTGTGCAGTGGGACCCTGTGGGCACATGTGCTGTGAAGGGTGGGAGTAGAGGAAAGGGACACACAGGCCTCCCTGGCCAAAGATGATTAGGGAAGATCTAAAAATGAAGGACCTCAACACCTACAGCAGCCGGTAACCCAGGCAAACTATGCCCTTGGAAGCATTGCAGGGATAAGATCTTCATTAGCATGTGCTCTTCTGGACTCATCCTCCAATGCATAGACTCATGATCTGTCAAGTAAATCTTATTTCTCAAGCAGGCATGTTCTATGGCTTCAGGGAGAGAAATCTTACTCCTTTTCATGAATAGGTTCTATTGATTCCCTTGTACAGTACTTCAGATTGATAGTCTACCAGAGCCCATTTCACACTGTTGTCATTTTTTGAAGATCAAGACACTGATCATATTTTGCAATCTTCTGCATCAATAGGGGTATCTTTTTGATGTGAAAATTTATATTCTTCTCCTTGGCAACTGAACAGACTATGCCCCTTTTGCCCTGGTGTAAGAGCGTATAATGGAGCTAACAACACATAATGTGGAAGCAAGGACTATCCAAAGCATAGGTGGACTCTTCTGAAGTTGTTCTCCTGGCATAAGTTAAATCCCCCAGAAATGATGCATTACACACTGGCTAAAGCTGCTTCTCTGAAGCTGATTCCCATATAAATGAATCCATTCACATTCTCTTATGTAACGGGAGCAGAGGAATTCCTCAGTCTCTATTTGCAATTTGTGCTGAAGATCATCACTAGCCAAAACACTGGCAGATACAACTATGTGGTCATGCAACTTGGATGTTCTTCTTGAGCATACCTGTCTGATTGCGCAAAAAATGTCCATAGAAATGCCCTCTACATAGTGTATGAACAAAAATGAAAAACAAGGAGCTGAAAATAATGACTTAATTTTTGTTTAATTGTCTACACTGAGCCAAACATATAAAAATACAAGTGTTTCAGCAGTGTCTTCCCCACTCTGCTTATGTAAATCAAGTATTTGTGAGTACGACCTATTGCATAAACAGCGCTACACATTTTAAGCAACAGTCCAAGCTACTGAAGGAACAACAAAATATGCATTAAGTTGCTTGTTACTGTCTATCTATCTATCTATCCAGGAAACAAGATAAAACAGGAGATAGAATAAAAGCATCACATGGAATCACTATAAAACATAGCCTAAGGAAACAAAAGAGTATGAATTTCATTAGAAAAGAAACCTGAAAGTCAGAGATAAGCTAAACTAATATTGGGAAGTGGTTATTTTCATTTGTAGCTAGGGGACACTGTCTGAACACAGATACTGTGTCTTTTACAAAACGTATGGATACTGATCATGGAATACGGATTTGTGGAAGTGTGGGACATACACCGTATGAGGACGTAAAGCTTGTTCTCATTTGATTAAAGATGCAGAATCCTCTTACTAGTTTATGAGTGTCCCTAAATTAAAAAACACAGAAGAAAAATAAAAGATCGATTTCCAGTCTGCCAGCATTTTTATGGCCTATGTACCACAGCACATATTTCCTCGTGCTTTATCAAATCTGTACAATAAAATAAGTTGTGATTTTAAAAGGAAATTCTTCTCTAATTTCTAATAATCAGTAGCCCAGATTATTGCCACATCTTTATCTGGTGTAAATTGGTATACTTTCACTGAAGTCAAAATAGCTATTCCACTTTACACCAACTGAAGATTTTTGATTGGACTTCTAGGTAACAGAATATTTCTGAGCACTGAAGAGAGATAAACATCATATCTGCACTATTGAGATTATACTGGCATAGCTATGCCTGCATAGCCCCATTGTGTAGATGCAGCCTACGCTGACAGAAGGTTAGGAACACCACCTCCCCAAATGAAGATAGGGCTTGTCTACACTTGAAACGCTAAAGTGCCACAGCTGAATTGCTGCAGCTGCACAGCTGTAGTGCTTCAGTGTAGACACTACCTATGCTGACAGAAGGGGTTCTCCCATCGGCGTAGATAATCCACCTCCCCATCAACCTAGCGCTGTCTACACTGGCGGTTAGGTCGGCTTAACTGTGCTGCTCAGAGGTGTGGATTTTTCACACTCCTGAGCAACGAAGTTAAGCCACCTTAATTTTCTAGTGTAGACCAGAGGCAGATCTACACTACAAATTTACATTGGCACATGTAGCATGTCTGATGAAGATGCTCTAAGTCGATGGGAGAGAGCTCTCCCATTGGCATAATAACTTCCACTTCTACGAGAGGTCATAGGTATGTCGGCCGGAGAAGCTCTCCTGCTGACATAGTGCTGTCTACACGGGGGGTTAAGGTCACTATAATTTTTTCAACACCCCTGAGCGACATACTTATATTGAAGTAAGTATGTTGTGTAGACCAAGCCCAAGTCTTAGCTATGTCGACGGAGGCCCTTTTCCATCGACATAGCTGTGTCTACAACGGGGGAAATCTATGCTGATCGGGGTGAGGTTTTTTCACATGCCTGACTGATGTAGCTGTGCTGATATAACTTTTCAGTGTAGACCAGGCCTTAGAATCTCTAAAGATTATTCATTAAAAGTTTAAGGCAGTATTCCCTTGAACCTCAAAGTGGTTTTATCTATCTTTGTCTCTTTTAAATACATTTCTAAATTGCAATTCTATATTACAAGAATGTTTTAGAAACTGATCTACAAATATCTGGGATAATACATACCCTTTATTGAAATAGTATGTATATGGCAAAATACCTGTGTGTTTATTGTGCAATAAAATGTCATCAACTAGATGTTGAAATTACCCTGTAAAATTCAAAGTGCCCATTTCTACAGCTGAAGCATGGATTCCGTGGGAGTTGTGTATGCAGCCACTGTTGAATCAGAGCCTGTGGGTTTTCAATTGGAGCTATTACATTTATATTTGTTTTTCAAACAGGAACTTTTAGTTCTGGTTTTTATTACATTTTATATTAAATAGTTTAAAACCCATCCTGAAAAGTTGAAATTGTGTTGGAAATAACATGGGCCAAGACCTTGGAGATGATTGCACATTAGTGCTATGAAAGCAGCATTAATATGGGCTTGTATTCAAACCTATGCACTGTCTTTCATGTAGATTTTTTCACAGAATATCAGGGTTGGAAGGGACCTCAGGAGGTCATCTAGTCCAACCCCCTGCTCAAGGCAGGACCAATCCCCAGACAGATTTTTACCCCAGTTCCTCAAATGACGCCCTCAAGGATTGAACTCACATCACAACCCTGGGTTTAGCAGGCCAATGCTCAAACCACTGAGCTATCCCTCCCCCCAGTTAGTATTATCTTGACGGGGCAGCACTAAACTGCCGAAAATGTGGTGTGTCTGGAACTGTGGCATATGCTCTAAAATACATGGACCATACACCCTGCTCCCACCTCCTGAATGCACCTTCCCCACCAGTAGCTATTGTGGCATAAGCTTACGTGTAGAGTGAGGGGTGAAATAAGACCCTATATATTTTGGGCCTCATCCAACGTCCATTAAAGCCAATAGGAGTCTTTCAATTTATTTCAATGGCTTTTCCATCAGGCCCTTTCCAAGGCTATTTTGTAAGTTAATTTTGTGAAGATGACTTACCATACCACTCATCAACCCATGCAAAAGCCTGTCGGTGACCAATCATTAATATATCTCTGACCACCTGTGAAATAAGAAAAAAAGGTTTAAAGTATCTTGTGTAGTAAAACATTATAGAAAAATAAACTATAGTAACATCATGGTCTCTCTATAGGGTAGAAGGACATAAACACCCTGAACTTTGAGACTCTACACTGATCCATGGTGACATACACAAGAAGGGGACATTTGGGAACTGTACAATGAATATATTAATATTTGGGCAAGTAGACTGGAACTCCTTTCCCGTCTATCTTAAAATGGAACCTGTTAATTCTTTTCACATATGAGAGGTCAATAACCTTCCAAAATCCTACCAATGTCTGGACATTAAAATACCTGGAGAAGACCATTTGATAATTGTATCATTAATGAATTAATAGTTGGACAAGTGGAATGGATAACTTTCCCACCACTTGTAAAAGCTGTAAGATAACCTGGATGTTGTTATTCTGTGAAGGTTACTCATTTCTAATAACAGATTTTTAAAAAATCTTTGAAAAAAATATAATATACAAAACTTTGGTAGGAGAATATATAGAAAATCCTATCCAAAAAGCATGAGTCAAAACCTTTATGAAAAATTTAGGCATTTTTCAATAAAAAAAAGAGATTGAATTTGCAGAATAGGAGAAGTGTTTGCAACTGTGACTTTATCATCTTGGAACTCTGTACATGCCCTGAGATATCTGGTTTGAGAAGAAGGAACCACACATCCAGTGAAAATGAACAATAATATACACTTGAGAGTGAAGCATGCTAAACTTCAGGAAATCAAATGAATGGTGCAAAAGGCATCAGAACTATTGCAGTAAGTCTAACTCAGTTGTGTAGAAACTATCATTCAGTGATATCTTAATATTACGCTAACGGTCCAATTCTGATCTCGTTTACACTGGTTTCTTACTGGTGTAGCTCTTGTGACTTCAGAGGAGACACTCTTGATTTACATCAGTGAGACTGAGGTTAGAATGAGACTCTAAATCTAAGGAGTGGGCTGAGACTGCCACGGTTTTTGTTCTTAGTATTATGAAATTGGCAGATTAGCATAATGAGAATTTAATAAGCTTTTACTGCATCCAGATAGCTAACCATTAAAGCCAATAGAGCTGTCAAACTGAAGTACCCGTTTGGCCTCACGTTCTGCTCTCTCAGTACATTGGGAGTAGCTACACTGATGTCAATGGTGTAAAATCAGAGTGAGTGAGGTCAGAGTCAGACCCACAGTGTTTCTTTAATTGTGGTAACATTAAATGAACTGCTGATAAAGTGCAATACAGACTTTAAAAGCTTCAAGTAATGAAATGACAGGAAAAAAATATTTCAGTCTAGAAACACTGTATTGTATTCATCTAACAGTTCAGAATTGTTATGATAAAGCTGTTGTCATTGGCACAAATATTATTTTACCAGCAATGGAGGTCTCTTGGGAAAGGATGTTGTTAGTTCTGCCCACATAAGGATCACAGCACTGGAGATGTTATTGCTGGCTGTACTCAGAGATGGGCGAAAAACTAAGCCTTGGATCTGAATAACTCGAGCCTTTGGGGAAGTTTGTATCCAGAGATTAATTTTACAGCTAGGCCTCTTCTCTTTAATTGACAGATGAAACCCCCAGATCCAATCGCCCTTGAATGTTAAGGAGGTTTGGAACCAGATATAAACCTGAACTCCCTGGCTCAGACCCATCTCTAGTCCTATTCATGTGCAGGTCAGGATAATGCTCTAGTTCCACTTGTGCTCTAGCCCTTCTCCTGTGCAGGATAACAGCATTCACTGACCTTATGTACAAATTGTTCTACTCTAGTTTGAAGTCCCCAGACTTCAAATTTCACAGTCACCAGTTTGTAGGAGCACATGATCGGCTGGTGTGTCTCCCTCCAGCCTTCTTTTAAGAGGCCTCTCCCCGTCTTCTCTGACTTGAAATGTTTAGGATCCTGCAAAGCAAGGAGAACCATGATTGAAAAACCTTGGCTGAGAAGTCCCCATTTGTTAGCTTGTTAATGCATCTGTTTTAAGGCACAGTGGAATCATGCTAATAAACACTAAGTAAAAATAACACAATTTGCTAAATGAATGGCAGGATATAAGATACATGAGGCCAAATACTAGTCTGTTACCCAACAGCCAGTGCACTGATGGGAGCAGTAGAAACTTGGCGATGCTGTGAAGCTCATTTGGCACAAAAGACATTGTGCCATGGCAGGGCATGATGCTACAGGTCATTCTAGTACAATGCATTATGAGGCACTGTTTATTGCTCAAGGAGCAACAGGTCTATTTCCAATGAGACCTGCTAGCGTATTCTATAGTTGGCAGTATACATACACAACTGACTGTGGTCCAGCCACACCTCTATTCCTGACAACCATCTCTCTTTTGGTATATCACACCCACAGAACATGGCAGATCTGCCAGCACACTCTTGTGGGTTATCGAAGGGTGTCAGCTGGACAGCCCCTTTGCATGCATCACTACTGCTGAGAAGATCTGTGGCTGAGAAGATCTGTGGCTGACTGCACTCTTCCTCTTCCATACCCACTGCAGGAGTTAGCTCAGTGTAATGCACTAAAGTGAAAATGCAGGGAGTTACTCAACCTGGAGTAGCAAGGGAGCCAGATGGGATGACTCCTGTTGAATCTCATCCTTAGCTATAAACCAATTAACTATTGGAAGTGTAAAGTAAATGTAATGGCAGGGGAAAATATCCAACGTGGTTTTTTTTAAAATTACAAAAACTCTCATACAGATCATGTATAAAGAAACTAGAGAAGGGAAAGCAGAGATTCCATTGTGCTGTATGTCTGCACTTTAGAGCTGGCATGCTAAAAATCAAATGTGTAGTTGTGACAGTGCAAGTGGCAGGAGGGTCTAGCTGCCCCAAGTATGTACCTGTCTGAGACACTAGGCACATATTCATGTTGGCTAGTGCCTTCTGCCATTCACATCACTGTGGCTATGCTCTATTTTTAGCACACTAGCTCAATCAGTTAGCATGGGTAGATTGCTTCGATTTGGGAAGTACACCCCCCAGTTTGAAGACACTGTATACGTAAATCCTGCCTGCATTTTATTTTGGGACCGTCTCTGCACATCATTTGGATGGAAAATAAACAGAAAAAAGTCAAGGGTAAAAAAACAAAAACAAAAAAAAAAACAACAACACAGCCAAGCTTCATTATCAATGTGTTGGAAGCAGAGTTACTCACCTGTGTGCTCCTTTATGAATTTATCAAAGGCCTTATCTACTGCCTTAGACCTTGTGTATTCATTTATAACTGTGTAAAGTGAATGCAAAGAAGCCATAAAATGCTACAATCCTGATTTGGTAGCATTTTACATGCACTTTGCGCAGGTGTCAATGACAACACAAGTCATGAGGGCAGTGAAGAATCAGGGTCCTAATGTTCAAACCAACTGGGAGCATTGGAAAATTATAAAGAACTCTGTCTCTGAGGTTGAGGAAGCAAGTTAGATACATTTTAAGCCTATGAGAGAACTACATTATGGTTATAATCAGCAGATGGTAAAGTGTACATCATCTGTTTGAAGGGCTTGACAAAGCTATTGTAAATTCTAAACTAACTTGTATATTACTGATTGAGCATATATGATTGTGTGTATATATATCTCCTCAATGTTTCACTCTATATGCATCCGAAGAAGTGGGTTGTAGCCCACGAAAGCTTATGCTCTAATAAATTTGTTAGTCTCTAAGGTGCCACAAGTACTCCTGTTCTGATTGAGCATGAAACTTTACCAAGTTGGAACCTCCAGTAACAGCTCAATCATGGTACCTTTGGACAAATCCCTGAAGGGACTGTAATTTCAACATCAGCTATTTGATTTTCCAGTAAGTCAAGGAAAGCCAAGAAGTATGATACTAAATATATTGTTTGATGGGGCAGTGAAGCCAAGGCAATTGCTATTGAAAGCAAAGACATTACATCCAGTCTTGATTCTTAAAATGAAATAGCTTTCCAGGTTCTCAAAACTCATTGCACATGTAATAAACTGCATTTTAAAAATAGGGATGTTTTGGAGATATGGTCATGAGAAGACAGCCAACTTGTCTTCAGGGTTTATTTTAAACAACACAAAAGGATGCCCTTGGTTTAGGTAGGATAGAAAAGAAACACTTAGGCTACGTCTTCACTACAGGGGGGGGATCGATTTAAGATACGCAAATTCAGCTACGCGAATAGCGTAGCTGAATTCGACGTATCGCAGCCAACTTACCCCGCTGTGAGGATGGCGGCAAAATCGACCTCCGCGGCTTCCCATCGACGGCGCTTACTCCCACCTTCGCTGGTGGAGTAAGAGCGTCGATTCGGGGATCGATTGTCGCGTCCTGACGGGACGCGATAAATCGATCCCCGAGAGGTCGATTTCTACGCGCCGATTCAGGCGGGTAGTGTAGACCTAGCCTCAGAGATTAGTTGCTGTTTATTTGCATTAGTTTGTTAATTTCTATTTATCTGGCCTTATGTCGATACCTGCTAATTGCACCTTGTCAATCTTGGACAGGATTTACAGTTCAGTGTTCATTTTCAAATGAACAAGAACAGGGAAGTAATAATGAATTTACAATGCAACTCCTTGAATCTACACTCAAAATCAAGTTCAGCTGTGCCCTACTCCCTGAGACCTTAATCCAGGAAAGCTTGTGCTTAAATCCAGACTATTTAGAAAAACACTTAAATATGCACTTCACTTTAAGCACAAGCTTCAGTGATGTCCTGAATAAGAGGCTGAATAAAGATGAGCTAGGGAAGAGGCAAAATGGTGAGACTACTCTGTTTTTATTTCCTGCCACTCACTGTGAGCTTCTCTCTCACTTGGTGGTATTCTTTTTCTAATGTTTATAGTTAGCCCCAATGACTTGGCTTGTGATTTGATTCATAAACTGAAGCTCAACCATGAACCTTTCTGGTTACCAAGCTCAAATGAAGAGATGTTCTTTCCATCTTTCTGAAAATCATTACTTTCACATCCTTCTCTAAATGTGAGTGCAAATACTCTGCTTTCAACCCTAGAACACCATAAAAAACAAATCAGATCCATCACATGGCAGAGTAACATACCACTTCATATCACAAATCACAGTCACATAATGTTTGCCCGTCTTCTCATTCAATAAAGCTTGACCTCAGCTTGGTCTAGATATTTGAAAAGAACTGTTATATAACTCATAATTGCCTGAAGCAAACAGTTCAATAAAAAAAATGTAAGATGTGAATGTGGAATTCTAGTAGATGGAGCCACGAATTTAGAAACAGTTTACAGCAACAATGTAGAATGATTTCAAATATTCTGGCACAATATGCATGCAGTAAATAAGTATTCTTCTTCGAGTGCTTGTTCACGTCAATTCCAAACAGGTGTGTGTGCACCACACGCACGACAGCAGGAAGATTTTCCCCCTAGCAGTATCCGTAGGGTCGGCCTGGATGCCCCCTGGAGTCGCGCCTTCATGGTGCCCGTTATAGGGCCCTGCCAACCCGACCCCGCCTCAGTTCCTTCTTACTGCCTGTGATGGCTAGCTGGAACTCCCCGTTGCTCTTGCCTCGGCAAGCACATGTTACCAGTGTTTGTGCATAGAGTTTGTTAATGTTAGATAGTGTAGTAGTTTTTTCCTTTGGGGGGGGTCCCCCCCCACCAGTGTTTTTCCCCGGCACCGGGTTATGCCTTGGTCTTTGGGCTTTAAACCATGCTCGGACTGTGGCAGGTTTATGCAAAAAGTGACGCTTTGTGCTTGAAGTGTCTCAGCGAGGGGCATCTTAGAGACAGGTGCAAAATCTGTAGAAGTTTTTGCCCCAGGACTCTTAAAGACAGGGAACAGCACCTCTGAGCGTTGCTTATGGAGGCAGCACTTCGGCCTCAGTCAGAGCCGGGCGCGGCAGATCCGGCTTCAAGCGCCGCATCCTTGGTGTATAGCGCTCCAGTACCGTCTATGCATGAGCCGGTGCCAAAGAAGGACTCTGCTAGAGACCCTCGGCACCGCCATGGCTCCGCCCACAGGCCCCAGACATCGGTGAGGCACCGGTCGCACTCCCCGGTGCCCCACAAAAGGAAAAAGGCTGACAGAGGGTGACTGTGTCACCGACCAGTTGGCCAACAAGCCCCCATCGGGCACCCATTCGGTGGGGATTCCATCGACTCCTGTCCGGGGACGAGTCCAGTCGAGTCTGGACCAGCACTGCTCCCCGGCGCACCGCCACAAGACCTCCAGCTCCCCTCCACACCGGAGGCGTTCGAGGCAGCAGCGGACCTTTTGGCACATATAGCACCACCCTCACCTCCTAAGTGAGAGATCACCAGCACTGGTTCTGGGCCCGGTACATTCCGTGGGCAAACTGGCGATGATGTCAGCCATAAGACCACCAACCCCATTGCATCAGCCTGCGGCACAGGTGACCCGTGTGGGTGAACCGCTCCGGTCCCCCAGTTGATACTGCTATCGCTCCCCTGTGGTCATCACAGTCTGAGACCTCAGAGTTGGAAGTGGAGTCATCATGCTCTAATAGGAGCAGAAGATCCTGCTGCCAGTGCAACTGACAACCCTACCTGGCACCGTGGCTGAGCCAATGGCAGGCTCCTCAGCGGCCCCTCTGGACACCCTGGGCCTATCACCAGAGCTAGGGCTCCAGAGCGGCATCGGTGGCCTCAGCTTCTTTCGGGCCGGGCATCCAGGTGGGGACACACCTGCTGACGTCAATGGTCTCGGCTCCGATGGCACCATCAACGACCGCGGCACCGATCATACCATTGGCAACTGGGGTGATGTTTGCAGCACCGCCCTCGGCACCGATACCAGCACCACTCGTGACGCCAACCGCGGCATTGTTGGAGGCACCTGTCCTGATGCCAACTGTGTCACTGACCATGGCACCGGCCACGGCACCGACCGCAATGCAGCTGCTCCTTGCCCCACGGG